GCTTTTTATCTTTGTTAAGCTGATCTCAATATAATTTCATCATATTCCTCCGTGTTATAATACTGTGGGATTTGGTGAGCGATAGTTCTGTATGCACCATACTCTGCTTTAATGCTTTTGTAAAATTTGACAATATTACCCCCTCGGTCTTCTGCTCTTCAAACTGAAGGGTTCCAGCTTTTTTAGTCTCTCTTTGTAAGGCAGCTGCCCCCTGAATCATTTGAGTTGAGTACCTTCTCTTAACCCTGTTTCTTGATTTGGAGAGACCAGAACTGCCTGGTACACCAGTGTTTTATATAGCAGCAAAATGATATCCTCTGTCTTGGTTTTGTTACTTTTCTTGGTGACAGCCAAAGTTTTTTTGCTTTTCTGGCTGTGGCTGAGCACAGAGAGCTGTGAACTGTGACTCCCAGATCTCTTCTCCACTCAAAGTTGATGTGAGAATGCTACTAAGGTTTAGATTTTTTCCCGAAGCAGAGCATCTTACATTGACCTGGGCTGAAGCTTGTCTTCTGCCTCTTTGCCCTCTTGCTCAGTTTTATAACATCCTTTGAGTTCCTCACCATTGGCATGGAATTTGACTATTCAAAAGAGCTTAGTATCTTCTGCAAATCCAAAGATTTCAATGTGTGATCCTTCTTTGGGTCACTGAATTTGAATAAACCTGATTCCTTGGGAATCCAGAAGAGAGAGTGACTGTTAAGCCCTACATGTGCTTCCTATCCCTCGAGCAACTTCAGTCCACAAAAAGCCCCTTTTTCCAATTCCATTTTAACTTAATTTCTTCAATAGTCTTTGGTGGGAAGCCTTGTCAAAGGCTTTCTGAAAATCCGAGTCCACTGGATCTTCATTTATCCACATGCTTTCCTCTCCACCCCCTGAACTCCCTGCAGGTAGCAAGGCAGTATTTTCCTTTACAAAAGCTCTATTGACTTTTTCCCATTGGATGTGTATGGGCTCAGCAATATTACTCTTTTGTATGGACTCTACTGTCTTACAAAGATTGGAAGTTAGTATCAGTGGTCCTTTCAGGACCTTCAAGGCTCTCAGGTCAATGCCATCTGGTCCACATGACTTAGTGATTTGGCTGGTCTAGTACTTCCTGTATATGTGCTTCATGTTGATGTAGCTGTTCTGATGTTACGAAGAACATGTGGTGTGAGATACTGTCTCATCATCTTCATTGGTAAAGACAGATGCCAAGAATTGGATGAGCTGCTTTGCTGTGATCTTGTCATCCTTCAGTACCCTTTTGATACCTCTGTTGAAAAATGATCCTGCCAAACCCCTAGGTGTCTTTCATCTTTCAAAATATTTAGGGAACATTTTAGTCTCAGCATGAGCATCTGTTGTAAGGTGATCTTAAAATTCTTCTTCGCCCTCTTAATTTCCTGTTTACGTTTGACCTGCCCTATTTTATGGCCTTTCCTGTTTTCATTTTCATGCTCCTCACTTTCAGAAGTTTCCTGATGTTCTTTTCTTCACTCTCCTGACAACACATTTTGAGCAGCATGTCCACTTATATACCTGAAAAGGAGGAGAGGGGAGAGTTTTATCTTTAATCATTCAGTGTTTTAGTTTGCAGTTGCCAATAATGCATCCATAGTCAGTTTACCGTTTTCTTTGCTAAATTCAGAATATTTTCTCCTTTCTTTGGGTCTTTCTAGCAGCAGCAAAGCAAAAAATTTGACTTCTGCACAAATATGGGACTTTACAAACTGAGTGAATTAGAAGTAAGGCAATGTGGTTAGTTGTCTTTGAAATTAAAACTCTTAGTTTTGAATTTTCCAAGTGTTATATACTGAATATTTAAAAAATCTGCTGATATAAAAGAAGATGCCTCTCATTTTTTAGTGATCAAAATACCCACAAATGCCATTTGTTTTTGTCATTTAGATTATGGCAATGTACAGTTGCATTCAACATTCTTGGATAATTGAACACATATGTACACCTTCTTAATTTTATGAAAGTGGCTATGATTTTTATAATTGGATTTCTTCAGGAAAATATACTACCGTGGAGCACTGTGATATAATTGTAATATTGTGAATCATTTTCCTAATTGTTAATGGCTAAAGTAGTAAAGATTGTTAGTGATTCTATTCTATTCTATTCTATTCTATTCTATTCTATTCTATTCTATTCTATTCTTATTATAGTCCCATACTTCTGGAGGGATGTTGTATTACTAGATGATATAAGATGCTGCATGGGGAAGTCAGAGGTTTTGGCAAGCAGATGAGAGGTGATTCCATAAAAGTGAGTAGTAGCGTGGGATTGTGGGATGTGCACTTCTTGTTCCTCCTAAATTACAGTAGGAAAGTAGTTAATATAAGTGGCAGTGATTATTGCTTATGCTTCAGATTTAATGTCCAGCTGCGATTAATTAGAAGAAGGTTTCTCAGAACAGTGAGATCTTGGAGCACTGCCTTAATTGCTGTTAGGAGAGGAAAAAGTACCGATTGCTTTCTTAAGGTGTAGCTATAGCCTAATCAATGCTTTTGAAAAACTTTACGTGACCTGGTTGTAGGCAATAATGTGGACCCAAATTCAACAACCTGAGAGGTCCCTTCCAATCTCAAATTACTGTAAGTGCTGTGACTTGTGTGTAGATTCAGGAAAGCATTATTAGCAGATTACCTAATGACTCAATTGGCAGCTGGAAGTTTTTTGCACATTTTAAAGGCTAAATGAAGTTAATTAAGGATATCGGGCCAAAGCTTTATGCTCAGTTATGATGCCTGCAGCCATAGAATTGTCTATTTAAGAAGCTCAAACCTCAGCCCAGTGTATCTGTTGGTGGTAAAAGGTAAACTTCGGATGTATGCTTCACAAAGTGCTTATGTTTCTTGGGTAAATGTTTACCAGTCTAGTATTTTTTTAACATTTTGATACAAAAATACATTCTGTAGAGCCTGAATGGTTATTTATTGCCAACTTGAGGGAGTTAATTTTAAATGGCTGGTTTGTAAAATAGATTTAATTTTGAAGTTACTGCTTTGATTTTAGGGATACTGGTGTTTTAAGGGGTGAGTAGAAATAGGGGGAAATGGCTTATGTAGGCATAAAAATGACATGAAAGAGTTAATTAATTCTTTAGTGAGTAATAGCTCAAGGTTTAGGGAGATTGATGTTCTTTGAAAAGATTTTAAAATTCCCGAAAATATTCAGTATAATGTATGTTCTTTGTCTCCTAGTACGCATAGTGCATTTTCGGGAATGTGGATTTCCTTCCATTTTGGAAATTTTGCCTGACATGTATGTGGAGTAATGTTTCCTTGGAACTGAATTTCTCTGGTCTTACATCTTCTGACCCTTAATAAACACACAAGTCATCTACTCCCATCCCATGTGATGAGCTTCCAAAATCTCAGAGCATGATATGAAACAGAAGTGCTGCACAGCTATAACAAATAGCTTTGAATAAGTGCTTGTATTTGCTTACTGATTAAATCTATTTTTATCACGTAAAACTAGCTTATCTTAGGGTCTGGTCAGAAAATTGCAAGCAATCTTAACATGGTGTGTGGTGAGCAGACCCTTTCAGCTGGGAATTGCTACCCCTTAGCTAGAGCAGGAGGGCTGACTGAATGCGTTGGTCCAGGTTGTTGGCATGTGAAGTAAAGTGAGATAAATCCAAACTTTCAGCTGTGATATTTCATCTGAGAGGGTTGCTTTTTTGAGAGCATTAATTCAATTGCTTTGTGATCGTTGGACCATATTCTTAGTTTGTGATGTTAGGAGTATCTAACTGAAGGGTGCGATGTATGTATGTAACATGATGTTTCTCATTTCAAGGAAATGGTAGGAACATTAAAGTGCTTTTTCTGTATTTTTATTACTTGCATTAAAATTAAGGAGAATTTGACATCTGATTACAGAAGAAGGTGTTTATGAACTTTAGGTCAGGTCTTGGTTAAGTCTCTGAAAGGTCTAGAATAACTTCAAATGATGTTTGTATCACATTATCTAGAAATTGTGTTATAAGATTTGCATCACGTTATTACACTACAAATTGGAAATATTCTCGAAATATTGGAGACCATTTTGGAATATAATGTCTAAATGTACTTGCTTTTTCTTATACCCTTTGTGTGCTTCAAAGCTGAAGAAAATGAATTTCAAGACTCATGCAATTAGTATGCTGTGTCATGTCATTTCATCTGATTAAGCGGAGAATTTCTGTAATTGGTTGGATGAATCCCACACACGCTGGCAAAAGCAGCATACACGTTTAAAATACACTAATTTGTATCTTACTCATTTCAAAAAATGGGCTTTATGTAGGCAGGGTTCAGTCTGCAGTGGAAAGGTTTGGATCGGCGAATCGTTTTTTGACTAAAATTATTTGCCTGGTAAAAATATCCCTAGCTGTTACTGTTCTCACACTTTCCGTATCATAGTTATTCCTAATGGTAAGCTGATTTCATGCTGAAGGCTTCAGTTCAGGAACGCACTCGAAGTCATGCATGACTTGCATCGTACTGGATCATTCCCTCGATTTTAAAGGCATAATTCATGTGCTTGAATCAGACACAGGTTTAAGTACCTTGTTGAATTAGTGCCTATGTGGAAATTGTTTTTCTCCTCATGATAATCAAATTTGGAACTGGAAATGACCTTGTGTAGATGGTTTTTAGCATTTTTTTTTTTAATTGTGCCACCATCAGTTGTTACTTACTTCGATATTTGTGGGTTTGCAGCTATCCAGACAATTGAATTATTTTGTGTTCATCTTCACAATAATTACATGCCTCTCGATTGCCTTTTCAGTTTACATGTAAAATTAGCATTTTGCCAACATTGTCATTGTTTAAAAACAGCAGTGCAAAGTCTGGTTGTGCAGAGAATTAGTCTCAATTTAATGTGAATAGATACAAATTTAAATTCGCAGTTATATGAGGTTAACATATATTTTAAAAAGCATAACTTTCATCTATATGCGTAGCTATTTAGATATGTATTTACCTTGTCTTCTGTATTTTAATATTTTTCAGACAAGTATAAAAGAAGGATTACTACTGAAGCAAACCAGTTCTTTTCAGAGGTGGAAAAAGCGTTATTTCAAACTTCGAGGTCGTACCCTTTACTATGCTAAGGATTCAAAGGTAATTCTATGCTATTAGTGTTTAATGTCATATACTTTTAACTTCAATGTTGCTTAGTTTTATAAGTGCAATAATAATAATTTAATGATTTGTTAGAAATTATCAGTTTTATTAAAAATCTGTATATAAGATGTAGTGTGTTAAATTAACTTTAACTAAGGAAGACTGGTGATTTCTCTTGATTTTTTTTTTTAATGAAGTTTATCACGGTTGTTTTAACCTTTTTAACTCTTCAGACAAATAATAAATTCATCTTAAGGAGTCGTGGGTTTTTTTGGGAGGTGGCTCTCGGGCAGACAAATCTAACATTTCAAAAAAAAAAGGTAAAAATTGAATAATGCTCAGAAGTTATCCCTCAAACTGAATTCCATTTAAACCCTTCTAGTCTGATGCCCATATTGCTGCTAAAGAGGTGGAAATGGTTACATGAAATCAAGATAGGAAGATTTTCTGGCAAAACTGATATATAAGGGAAAAAGCTGTTTCCCATCAATTGAAATTTTTGGTGGGAAAATTGGGGGTGGGCAGAGGGGAATACTTGTCTTCTTTCCAAAAGGCATTTCCTCCCTCCGCCTCAGGGCTGGGACCGAGAGCATTTTGGCTTGTTGGGCTGACTCAGATTGTGCTGTTCCGTAGCGGTGGGCATCACTTTTCTTTACCCTGCGGGGTTGTAGCAACTCATGGGAGCTTGTAGGTGAGGTGCTTCAGGTCTCCATCATCTTCTATAGCCTGGTCTTCTCAATAAAACTATTACTAAGGCATGGTGCACAGTTGTGTGGCTGTGATGAATTAAGGAAAACATCGTCTCTCCAGGGAGGCCAGCACTGAAATACCTCTGTTGTCACACTTCTCCGCACATGGTGCTACCAGACTTAATAGGCATGGCAGATAAGAGCTCTGAGAATGGCAATGTCATCTGTGCCATAAAGATGAGAAAAGGAGGTGTAATGAGTAGGCAACTGTACAAATACTCTGTAATGTTGAATCCAGACATGCTGAAACTCCCCCAACATCGATTCTCCTTCCCATGGCATGGAAGAGGAAGAACACGGTATGGCTAAAAAAAGGGGGAGGCATTTTTGTTTGTCTTTCCTTCTGTGCTTCAAAACCCATCATGAGTTTAACAGAACCTAATTAATCCTTTGCCAGACGCTGGTGTGTTTAAAGATGACATATATTTCCTTTGCTGGAACATCAGACAAAGGAGTGGAAGGGATCTCTTCAGGCCCTTGAGCTCTGTTTTCTTGTATGGATACCGTATCACAGATTCCCCTTCATGAATTTAGAGTTCCATCCTAAAACTGATTAATTAATTTATATTTTACTAAGTGTGAATCTCTTTCCTCTGACACCACATTTATGCTACACAGTAGACACCCCAAAGCTGCATCTATTTAAAAAAAAAAAATCTTTAAAAAGAGATTTTAAAGCAATATATATTTTTGGAGCCACTTTTTTATGCTCTCATGTATCACTTAGATAGCAAATAGGACTGTGTTTAGGGCCAAATAAGTTTTATCAGATCATCAGTGTTTTCTATTTTTTCACCACTTTTTTTTTTAAAAATTTTTATTTTCCAGTTGGAATGGACACAAGGAAATGAAAGCACAGACTGTAAGCATACCTCAAAGTGGACTCAGACTATATTTAATGTTTTTATGTTATTTTCCATTCACAGTCTTTAATATTTGATGAAGTTGACCTGTCAGATGCCAGCGTAGCTGAATCGAGCACAAAAAATGTCAACAACAGCTTCACGGTATGGAACCATTATAATACTGGTCTTGAAAGCTGTGGATAGACTCTTACTAAGAAAATCAAGAATCCTCTGAATTGCTTCTTATTTTCCCCTATTTGAAAATAAAATGTCCTTTATTTGGAAATGCTTTATTGTATCAGAAAAATATCACATCAGCTATTGATAATTTTGTTTCTGTGACTTTTTTTTAGCAGAAATTAGAATGTTAGATAACAGTTGCTTCAAAAAGGTGATGATTCTATGATTAAAAATTTAGCAAGAGTCAGTGTTAGACTTCGTTAGTACTTACTAGTACAGCTTGGTTTTATGCTTACTTTGTCTTTGAGGTGACATGCTGAATTGATTCAAATGTAATTGCATTATTGTTTTAATTTCTTATAATAACATTTTGGTTTTCTGTCATATTGAAGTGCATTTTATTTTTTTCATTGCCGATCATATCGCTATATGTTTCCAAGTCACGTGGAAAAGCTGTCTTCACAGTCGTACCTTGATTCTGATACTGGTATAAGAAACAAAGAATGTTCATAAATCCCTGTTTCTGTAAGTTCACAAGTGTGTTTTACACACAGGTCTTGCCATTTATTGTTCAACTGCTTTGTTGGAACCAAGTGATAACGTCTGGCACAGTTGCTCTGCTGATTCTTAACCTCTGGAAAAGTAAATTTTTTGAACAAGAACTAGCTATGAGGAAAATCATGGGTAAAGTTGTCCTTCCCGAAGGTCTTGAGTTCTCCCGCTGACTGCAATGGCATCATTTTTATTAACCTGCAAATCCTGTTATTCGCTATTAAAATGTTGATTTTCCATTTTCCTGAGGATTTTAATTTCACAGGTGGTGCATGTTACCGGTGTTGCTTGTTCTTCTCCAAGGCAGTCCAACGCAAGCCTCCTGAAAGCTTCATCAGGTCTTCCTTGCTGTTGTACCTCCCAGGCAGCTACTGAAGTAGTCAGAGCACTTCAAAGACGTGTTCATGTTGGCCTGGAGAGTCCAGCATGTTGTGTCAATCTAAGTTTCTTTGCTGACTAAGAATGTAATTAAAAAGACTACTTTGATGGAAGGTCTCAGATGAGGGGATGGCTGTGTCAGGTACCAGCTTGCCTTTTGAAAAGGTTCTTTCTGTTGCTTAGAAGCTCTGCTTCTGCCTTGCTCCTGGCCAGAAGTAAAGCTGTCATGCAGGCATCAGGATAGCTGAGGAATAATGAGGCATACAAAGATGATGAGTTGAGGATCCCAGCAGTCTTGACTGTCACTTATTGTTCAACACGGGATATAAAGCTCAGCAACCCCTAAAGACCCAAACTTCCTTCACTGTACAGGAAGAAGAAAATTAAGAAAAGTCTGGTTATAATGTTACTACTGATCACTGAATCATGAAATAAGACATTCATCTAGAGATCTGGATAGACCAGAGAGCTGGGCAATCACCAGCTCTATGAAATTTAACAAGAGCAAATGCCAGATTCTCCGCCTGGGACGGGGTAATCCTGGTTATACGTACAAATTGGGGGATGAGAGGCTGGAGAGCAGCCCCAAGGAAAAAGATCTGGGGGTTTGGTTTGATGGTAAGTTGAATACGAGTCAGCAGTGTGCCCTGGCAGTTAAAAGGGCCAACAGAGTCCTGGGGTGCATCAAGCACAGCATAGCTGGCCGGTCGAGGGAGGTGATTGTCCCACTCTACACTGCACTGGCTTGTCCCCACCCTGAGTACTGTGTGCAGTTTTGGGCGCCTCAATGTAAGAAGGACATCAAACTATTAGAGTGTTTCCAGAGCAGGGTGACCAGGATGGTGAAAGGTCTCAAGGGCAAGACTTACAAGGAGCAGCTGAGGTCACTTGGCTTGTTCAGCTTGGAGAAGCGAGGGCTGAGGGGGGACCTCATCGCAGTCTACAACTTCCTCAAGGGAGAGGAGATGCTGATCTCCTCTCTTTGGTGACCAGTGATGGGACAGGAGGAAATGGAATGAAGTTGCATCAGGGGAAGTTCAGGTTGGAAGTTAGGAAAAGGTTCTTCACTGAGAGGGTGGTCGGTCACTGGAACAGGCTCCCCAGGGAAGCAGTCAGGGCACCACGCCGGTCAGAGTTCAAGGAGCATCTGGACGATGCTCTTAGTCATAAGATTTAGTCTTAGGTAGTCCTGCAAGGAGCTGGGAGTTGGACTCGATGAGCCTTATGGGTCCCTTCCAGCTTGAGATATTCTGTGATTCTATGATCTTGATGTAATTTTATGTGGGGAAGTGGCACGTTTGGGGTTTTTTTTTTTTTCTTTCTTTTTTTTTTCTCCTTACAATGTTTGGTGTTTTGGTATCCTTTATAATCCTTTAGGCCCACTCAGTATCTCATTCTTCACCAAAGGCATGTTTTGTATCTAGTATCAAGACTTCTGGGGAAGACGGTAGTGAAAAAAGCAATCTCAGGGGCTACAGCTTTAACAGCTTTGGAGACACTATTTATTTTCATGTCCTGGGTAACTTAGGGCAAACAGTGTTTTCTCTAAGGAGTCTTCAAATTCATTTTGAAAAATTATTTTGATTTATACCTCTCCTGGATTGAAGTGTCATCTGATTTGACCGTGAAATATGGTAACGGTTGTCATCTCGCTTAATCTTTTGGCTTCTTTCTTTGTGTTTGCCTAACCTAGTCTCCCAGCAACACAGCTCAGTGAAGTAAGACATCTCTGGCCTTGCCTGCTGGAGTTGGAGTTGGGGAGGTGGTGGGGGGTGGGTGGTTAGCTTTCCAGCAATACTCCTTATAAATAAAAAGAAACATTTCTTTTTGCTTTTTTTCCTTCCATCTTAAAAAAGATAATCCAGCCTGTCTTAAAATTACTTTTTTTTCTTTATGTTCTAAGTGCTTTGTTAGCGTTAAAAAAGCAAAAATTAAATCCTTAACTTCAGCTTTCTCTAGTTAACATACTCCTCTTGTTTCTTTGTTCCAGTAGAGAATATTTTTAGCACAAACTTACGTAGATGGAATATACATCAAATGACCACTTTTCCAGGAAAACACACCTTTAAAAATTTACATTAAAATTAATTTTTTTTTTTTTTTTACAAATTCTGTTGTCATTTCACTTAAATTCCCCACACACCCCCTCAATCTCTCACCCCGAGCTTGTAGAAGCTACTGATTGCCTTCTTTTGCCCTTTCTAGTTTGTCTGTTTGGAGACAAAGGTGTGCATGTCAAGATTTTCCATGCTCTTTTTTTGGATAAAACTCAAGTCCTAAAATTAGTCATAACACACAGATTTAAGGTTGAGTTTATTTGTAATGCGCATACTTGCAGAATATTTTATGTAACTAAATATCAGTGTTTATTCACCAGAATTACTTTTCCTTTCTTACTGCAAACAAATTGAGGTTAAGGGGAAAGTTGAGATAAGTATCTGCTAATTAAAATGAGAAGCTGCTAAACTTAAACCAGCTCATCTGTTTCAGTTTTTTCTTTATTGGTGATGATATTACTTTTCAATGAACACCAGCTCATTTCTAGCAAATACTTCCTAGTGCACAGACTTGCACTAGGGTGCTTTGTAATAGATTATAGGCATTTTGTAGTTCTGAGCATCCTCATCTAGAGGCTATTAAATAGAGGAAAAGGTGTCCCTTAACTTCAGAGTCTTTATATGAGACCCTCAAGGCCAGATTCTTCCTACTTACTTGTTAGGTACCAGTCTCCTAAGTCTGTGGGAAAAGAGAGAGGTTCAAGAAGCTAATTCAGCCCATCAGAGATGTGCATCACCCTCTCCATCAGCCACATCAGGAGCCCACGGGTGCTTTCACTCGCCCCATGCCTGCAGTTCGGTGGCGTGGGTGGGCGCTGAGGAAATAATTTCACTATCATTCTGGAAGGTGCCCTCCAGGAATGAGAGAATTAACATACGAGATGATACTCAGGATGGGGATTCAGTTTGCCCTAATTTCAGTGGTGCGTTTATAGACCCCTAAATTTAGGTATCTAGGATAAGACAATAGCTGTTTAAAGTAGATGCCTGTAATTGCTCAATTCAGTATAGACTCCACTGATTATTAACTAAGTCTCCCTTAGCTACGATAGGAGCTTTGTCATCCAGCACACCTAAAATGTAGACCCCTGCTTTCAGCTTTCTGAATCAGGTACTGAATCAAGTACTTTTTGTTGAATATGCATCTTCTGAAAGTAGTCATCTTGAGAGGGAGGAAGCTGCAGTAGGCAGATCTGCTGTCCTGGAAAGCCTACTGCAATTCTTAGTAATTAGAAATTGGCTGGAAATGAAACTTTATATTCCAGCCAATAACATTGATTACTAGGATTCTGGGTATGCTTGCAAAAATGTCTAATATCATAAATTTTTGCTGAATTGTTGGTTTTAGTGATGCTGTAGGCCATATAGACCATAAAGTCTAATTATTTATTCTGTGGAAAAATACTTCCTTGGAGAACTCTTAATGTGCTGGGCTTTAATTAAGTATTCTCACCTAGTGTTATGAGGCAAAGACAGCAGAAACCTATAAACTCTCTATTCTTTATTTTATATTTTTTATTACCTCCTTTTGATTTGACTATTTTCCAAGGTAAATAATCTTTTCTATACTCTTACCTATTCTTGCTGTTCTTCTGACTGTTATTCTGCAGCATCATCTTGTAAGTGAAGTGACCAGTTTGGCACTCAGGGAGCACAAGTCACGGATATTTGGGACTGTTTTCTAAATTAACCCTCATTTACCTTCCTTATGGATCCCCCATTTTGTCTGTTTTATCTCCTATAATGACACTAAGATCCTTTTTCTGTTAATTTGGAGCTGTCTGTAATTCGTAAATACTTCTATGCTTCTGTGTTTTTTCTCTGGTGTGTATTTCTTTGTTTTTACTAACACTGAACTTTTTCAAGTCACTGTACTGTCTGTTTAATACCTTGCTTAGCTTGCTCTGAAGTGCCTTGGTGATTAAGGGGGGGAACGAAGTAATCAAAATTTTGTGCTGTCTGTAAATGTTCCCATATCACTACTTTACACTTCTC